ACCTTTCCCTTTTCGTTCCGCCTTCCCCTCCCAAAATCTTTTGTTTTGCACTCTCCTTCCCCCTGTCCTTTTCCATACTGGTTTCCTTCTTTCCCCCCCCCCCCCCCCCCTCCCCTCGCTCTTCCCCTCCTCCTCCCCCTCCCCTCGCTCTTCCCCTCCGCCCTCTCAGCTCTTCTCCCTCTCCGCTCACAGATGACCGCAGGGAGTTTATCCTCCCAGTCTCATCAGCCTCGGCGAGATGTTCGAGTACAACAAGACAGCGCGAGGATGCGACAACAGGCGGGCACTGAAGGTAATGAGGCCCTGCCGCCGCCGCCGCCGCCGCTGCTCACCCTCCTCCCTCCTCCCTGCTGCTGCTCCTCCTCTTCCTCTTCCTCCCTCCTGCTCCCTGCTCCCTCCTCTGCTCATTGTTTTTGTTTGCAGATGTACGGGAGCGCAATGAGTGCTGTAACATCAAACTACTCCGAGCAACGAGCGTTGACAAATATCAACGCTATCAGGACCAAAGAAAACATCGATCGAGGTGAACATCTAAGAACGTGAGTTTTGCAATGTTGACATCATACAAGATACATGGGACGCCAAGACGAATCACATGAAGAAAGGTGATGTGTTCAATCATCGTCATCACTCTCCTTTCCTTACATGCTTTTCAGAACTCTCGCGGATCTTGAAGTTGACGGACTGATATCAGCACCTCGGGATGCATCTCAACATGAGATCAGAGTGAGAAGGCTCGACCAGCTCGCTGATTTCCTCCTGAACACCATCATCGTGCTCATCATAATCAATGACGACGACAATGTCCAACATCAACACTATCATCACAAGAACCACAAACACAACCACAAACACAAATATCATCTCTATCATCAACAACATCACAAAAACTTGCAGACATATTTTTCACACCTGTAGATAGCAAGCATCCCTTCTGTTTCACGTTTGAGCACATTGTGCAAAAATAGTAAAAGAATCAAGACGCTTCGAAAGGCTGACAAGGGCAAGAACCTCGAACGAGACTGACAGGCATCAATGAACGCTGCGATCAGAGGAGACAGGGTGGTATGAATCTCTCCCGACGGTAAGTTGGCCGCCTGCCCCATCTCACAGCCTGCATGTCAAACAAACTTCTCACTCACCGCATGCTGGTGGAGGGTCTCCAAAGAACTGCGAGCTTCCGTGTAGTTCTGTCGATCAACCAAAGGGGCAGACTTGTCATACGTTGCAACCCCTCCACAACCTCCTGCCTCCTGCCTCCTGCCTCCTGCCCCGCCCCCGCCCCCGCCCCCCTGCTCCCTCTGATCGCTAACCCTCACCTCAAGAATGATCTGAATGATACAGTCTGACAACATGGCTTGAGCCACTCCAGCTTGATCCTCAATCACATCAGCTACAGCGCCTTGGGAAGAAGCTGCAGCCGCAAGTCACTTCCCTCCATCCTTCCCGCCACCCTCCTCACCCTCCTCACCCTCCTCACCCTCCTCACCCTCCCCTCCCTCCCCTCCCTCCACTCGCTCTCCCTCCTCACATCTCGCTGATCGCCGCTGCAGAATCGTCATCAACCAGTGCAACGAGTCGCTGGCAGCGCTGTAATCCCCAGCTTCAATCCTGAGTCCATGTCACTTTCACGTCTCCTCCGTACCTTGACCTTGTCTCAACCTCCCTCCCCCCTTGACCACCTCAGCCTCCCTTCCCTGATAAGTCTCTACCTGCTCTTTGTACCTTGTTTCATCTTCCTCCTCCCTCCCTTCTCTCCCATCCTCCTCTTCCTCCCTCCCCTTCCCTTTCTCCTTTTCTTCGGCACGAGTTTTCTTGCTCACCGACTCTGGATTGATTTTCGGATCAAACTCTCAGACAGGAAGGGCGACTGAGTTTCGACGAGCTGAGCAGCTTTCTCCAGGTAGATAGCAGCATCGCAAGTCTGCGAGCAAGTGGCATCAGTTCGGCAACCATGAAACGAGAGGCAGGCAGGCAGGCAGGCAGGCAGGCAGGGAAGAAGAAGAGTTTTTCACAAAGTTCTCACCTCTCCGATATCGTACAGGTGCTGGCCCATCTCAGCATACAGCGAGCTCGCAAGTCCGAACTTCTCATGCTGCATGTAGACGCTGATAGCGCACAGGTAGCAGTTGATGGCTTCGGGCAGCAGCTAGCAACCGCCCGGTCACTTGATGCACCACCAGCCTCGTCCCAACAACCTCTCGGAAAGTCTTATCGTCCTCCGAGTTGATTTTCTTTGCCTCCTCTCTCCACAGCAGCTTCACTTCCTCATCAGCATCCCGACAACTCAGCCCGCGCTCCTTTGCTCACCTCCCCTGCTTGCACCTCCAAGTTCGCAGCCTTCAACGGACTCTCCAGCGCTCGTTGGCAATGGGCCGCTGACATGCAGCATATTGCTGACGGCAGGAGGTGCTCAGATGGCAGCATGTTGCATCAGCATCGACAACACCTGCATGGGGAGCGTTTCCTTCCCTCCGCAGCGCCCCGGCAAGCTCCAAGAGCTCTTCCGTGGCTCCCTGTAAGGTGTTAAGGAGGCATGGTCGGAGCTGAGCGCATTCTCACATTGTAGTCTATCTTCTTGAAAAGTCTCTGTCAACAACAGATCTCGTCAATCCAAGTTATTCGATCATTACAACACGAAGTCACGCTCGATTGCGAGCGACAACACGAAGCTCAGCTTTGATCTTTTGATAAGGACACATGTTCCACCAAGACCGTACAGATCAACTCACACCTGGCACAAGGAATCATCATCATCATCATCTCCATCATCATCATCCATCATCATCATCATCATCATCATCATCATCTCCATCTCCATATCCATCTCTATCTCTATCTCTATCTCCATCATCACTACAAGCGTCATATCTCTGCCAATCGCTTCTGCCATGTCGAATCGTCTGACCTTATGGATGTTCTGTTGTATCTTATGCAGCTCCTCATCGAACTTCGCCACCTCCATCGTCTCCCATTTCACTGCGGCATTCTTGATCCCACCCCCTCTACCTCTACCCCGTCAAGAATGACCCCCACCCCTTCCATTCCCCTAGTTGACAAGGTAAAATCTCGACATTCTCCCTCTCTGATTACAGAGTACCCCCGCATTTAACAATTGTATTCTTTGTGGGATCATACCCCTCTATTGCGCCATACTTGGAGGGGTATTGTTTTCGTACCCTTGATTTCTGGTACCCCTCAGTTAACAGTTATTGAACCGGGTGGTGTGTCCGACCTGAGCCACGTCCGCTATGCAGGGAGGCGCTTGATGCAGTCCTGAGCCCCCGCCTGCATCAACCGCTGGCGCTCGATCCTTCCCCTCCTTCCTGTCTCCTCCTCCTCCTCCTCCTCCTCCTTCTCCCTGCTACCTCCATTCCCTCCCCTACTCGTTGCCTCCTCGACTTCCTGGTACTGGCTCTTCAATCGCCTTGGTTGGTCTGACACCTTGCGGCCTTGTTGAAGTGCTGTTGTCGATCTTCCCTCACTCGCTTCTGCCTGTCTGAAGTATTGACATGTCCTACTCCGTGCATGACGCTCGAGACGTCGTGAAGAACCTCCGAGCATGCCTCAGCGCCCTCAGCCTGAAGGCACCGAGCCCTGGGTCCTACGAAGGCTCGGGCTCCTCCTCGAGCATCTGCACCATTGGGCTGATGCTGAATGGATGTGTCATAGACAACATGATGCCCGGAAGCTCCTCGTTCCTGATAGGAAAGATCAGGCCGGGAGACGTGATCGAGTCGGTGGACGGGAAGGAAGCTCGCCCCGAGAACGTGGTGGAGCTGATACGAGGAAGCGACGTCCCTGGAAGTAAGGTGGAGCTGAAGCTGAGGAGCTCCGACCGATCCTTCAAGGAGCTCCACGTCCCGCGCGAGATCAGGTCGAACGTCCTGAAGCAGCGCGACCTCTTCATGACGCTGGGTGAGTTCTTGCCGTCGAGGGCTCGCAATGACTGACTTGGATGCAGATGAGATGAGGGGGGTGGCTTCCTCTCAGATCCTCGAGCAGCGGGGGAAGAAGAAGCCGGACGACAACCTGATCAAGGCGCTCAACCGCTTCGTCGACAGCAGCACCGGAGCCATCGAGGGCCTGACGTCAGTTGGCAACGCGCAGCTGCTGAGAGAGATGGAGCTCCGCGACCATATCGACAAGGTCAAGGCCGTGACCCGTCAGTACCTCGACCGCCTCGACTCGGCGCTCGCTAATCTGGCGTTCAGTGAGACTGAGGAGGGAGGAAACGAGGAGGGGAAGGAGGGAGGGAAGGAGGGAGGGGATGCAGGAGGAGCAACCCACCAGCAGAACGGCAGCAAGAGCGACAAAAGGTTCGAGTCCCTTCTTCACAGGTGCAACGAGCTCGAAGCTCGCCTGTCGGATCGAGACGCTGCCCTCCAGCTCCAGCAGCAGACGCACGCGACCGCCATGCTGCGATTGCAGGCAGAGATCCAGAGCTTGCAGGACCAGCTGGCCTTCGCACAGGCGCAGGGGAAGGAAGTGACGCCAGCGCAGCCCGATGACGTCACCCTCTCAGGGCAGCTGAGCAGAGCGAAGACGAAGATGGCGAAGCTGGAGGCTGAGCTGACGGTCGCTAAGAGCACGATGCAGTCCAAGAACGCAGCGATCACAGAGGCGCGCATGGAGGCGCAGGCGGCGCATGACGCCAGCAGGGCGGACAAGGAGGCGCTGAAAGTCTGCAGAGAGAACCTGGAGCGAGCAAATGCGGAGCTGAAGAGCCTGCAGAGGAACGTGAACCTCCTGTCGCAGAAGCAGGGGGTGACGGAGAGCGTCGCAGCGACAGCGGACGTCTCGACCCTCAAGGTTGAGATCGCTCGGCTGACGCAGGAGGTTGTAGCGCAGACGGCCAAAGCAGCGCAGGCGGAGAAAGCAGCAGAGCAGGCGAAAGAGGAGGCGAGAATCCTCCTTCGCAAGAGGCAGGCCGATCAGAGCGCGATAGCCCAGGTGGAGGCGGACGTGATGGCGGCAACGAGGGCGTTGGCGATGCAGGAGCACGGAGACGCTGCGAACCCTACGAGCGAGGAATTGGCCAAGGAAGAGGCGAACCTCGGAGATCAGCACGCTGAGGAGGATCCGAGCCAGAACCCGAACCCTGAGAGGCACAAGTATGAAGCAGCGATCATCAAGATCGGCAGCCTTCAGCAGAAGGTGCAATCTCAATCCCCGTCCTGCTCCCTCTCCTTCCCCTTCCGTCCTCCTCCGTCTCCTTCTCCTTCCGTCTCCCCCCCCACCCCCCTCCTTCTCCCTTCTCTGTCCCTCTTGTTTTTCTCTTCTTTGTTTGGCTCTTCCAATCCTTCTTCCCTGCGGTTCTTTCCCCCCAACCATCTCGCTGCTCCTGTAAGTCCTGGCTGACGGGGCGGGCAGGTGGCAGAGCTTCAGGGTGTCATCAAGAGCTACCAGAAGGACGGGAAGACTGGAATCCTTGAGATGCAGACGGCAGCGAGGTCGGCGACAGAGGCGAAGCAGGAGCTGGAGTCGGAGAAGAAGAGGAGGAACGAGGAGAGGACGCAGCTCACTGCCAAGATGCAGACGCAGCGAGAGGAGCTGGAGAACAAGGTGCTGATGACGGAGAAGGCGAGAGTGAAGCTGCAGGAGCTGCTCGCCAAGAAAGAGGCGCAGCTGGAGAGGGTGACGGAGGAGGCGCGCAAGGCAGCCACAACGATGAAGGAGGAGATGCAGAACATGCAGGCTCGGCATGAGCAGGCATGGCAGAGGACGGCAGATGCAGTCGACAGGCTGGAGAAGGACACGACCGAGGCTAAGGAGGAGAGAGACGCTGCAGTGAAAGCGAGGAAGGATCAAGAGAATTATGTGAAGTCCATGGAGGAGGAGGTGAAGCAGATGAAGGAGCGACTCGAGCAGGAGACGAAGAGAGCGTCGGATGCTGTAGAAGGTGAGATCATACTTGGAGGAGCAGGCAAAATTTCTGACGTCTCGTGCAGCTGCCAACAAGGAAGCGAAGCAGGAGATCGACAAGAAGGAGCAGGAGTGCAAAGACCGTATCCTCCACCTCGAGACCGACAACGCCCTCAAGCTCAAGGCCATGCAGGAGCAGTTGCGAGCGGCGCACGACAGCGTGACGGATTCGTACGCCATGGTAGCACAGGCGCAGGCGAAATGCTTGGAGGAGGTGGAGAAGGCGAGGGAGAGGGAGGGAGCTGCGAGGAAGGAGGCGAGGGAGGCGCAAGACGCTCAGCAGCAGGAGTTGAAGAAGCTGCAGCGGCACCTGGCAGGAGTGACGGGGGTGAAGGAGGCAGAAGTGGAGCGAATGAGCACGAGGATCGCGACTCTGGAGATGACGATCAAGACGAGGAACGCGGAATCAGTTGCCATGCAGCTCGAGATCGAGCGGCTGAACCAGCAGACGGAGCAGGAGCGGCAGAGGAGGGAGGCGATGGAGCAGGACTACCAGCACGCCATGAAACGACTGTCAAAGAGCGACGAGGCGATCGCCCGGGCTGAGGCTCGAGCAAGGGAGGCGGTGGAGAGAGGGCAGGAGAGAGAGCGAGAGATTATCCGCTCGATGCAGGATGAGATCAAGGAGGATGGCCTCCTCGAGGTGCGTTAAGATGTTCCCATACACTCTCTTCCTCCTCCTTTCTCACCTTTTCTATTTTCTCTCCTCTCCTAGACCTGCCTTCTCCTCCCCTCCTCTTCTTGCTTCGTTTCTCCTCTCCCCTCTCTTACATCTACCAACCCCTTCCAGTCCTCCCCCACCATACTGGCCGTTGCATGATCGCTGCGCCAGGTTCGGCTGGACGAGACGTCGAGAGAGGTCGAGCGGCTCAAGAAGGTCAACGCGGAGCTGCGGGAGAGGCTCGAGGAGGCGCCAGGAACGAAACTGGAGGCAGAGGCCGCGGCCCTCCGCGCGCAGGTGGAGACGCAGGAGAAAGACCTTGAGCAGACCCGCACGCAGCTGAAGGAGCTGAGGGAGGCGGAGAAGAAACGCTCTGAGAGGATGCTCTCGGCGCTTGGACAGGTTCCTTCCTCCTCCACTGACATGAAGTTTCTCTCTTGCCCTTCCCTTACTGCCCTTACTGCCCCTCGTGCTCTTCCTGCTCCTCCCCCATCCTGCATATCACTTCCACTCTTACTACCTCTGCTCGCACTCTCCTCATCCTCCTCTTCCAGGGCTCTGAGAGCGGGCTCGCCAAGGACCTGAACGAGCTGCTGAGCATGAAGCTGGAGAAGAGCTCCTTCGACTCGGCGCTGAGGGAGGCGCAGGAGGACGCGGCAGCTGCTCGTCTTGCCCTAGAGGACGCGAACGTTCTGCACGAGCAGCACCTGGCGATGGTGCACGCGGCAGCAGCAAAGCGGGAGGGAGAGCTGGAGGCGGAGAAGGGGGAGCTGCAAGGAGAAATCGACAGGCTGATGAAGAGCCTTGAGGAGAAGTCGGGCGAGCTTGCAGCTGCTGAGGAGAGAGCAAACAAGGTGTGTTCTGCATGCCGCATTGACAACATCCTCGCTTCTTCAAATGCTCACCGCTCTTTCCTCTCCCAACTCCTTCCTCCTCTTCCTCCCCTCTTCTCTCCCTCCTTCTTTCCCTCCCTTGCGACGTCTTACAGTGCCTCAGGCTGAAAACCAGCTGTCACTCCTGCGGTCAAGGATCGCGAGCCTCGAGGAAGACCTCAAGAAGGAGCAGCAGAGGAGGAGGGACGAGATCGACGAGCTCCACCGGTCGAAGGAGCTCGCGGTCGAAGAGCTGGAGGCCCGTCAGCGGGAGCTTACCGACGCAGTGGAGGAGGTGAAGGAGCAAGGATGAGAGCGGTGCCGTCTGACAGGCAGCTGCAGTGGAAGGGGGTTGCGGAGAGAGGAGACTATGGGACTGTTAAGCAGCTTCGGGAGGACCTGGACCAGCTCCGAGAGGTCGGTTCCTCCTGTTGCTTGTTGTGACTATCCATCCTTGTTGCTCCTTGCTCTCCCTCGATCTCCTTCCGTCCCCTCACATGCCTCCTTCTCTCCCTCTACTCCCCCCGTCCTTTTCTGCTTCCTCTCTTCTCGAGACCCTCGTTGCTCATGATTCTCTACAGACGGCGGAAGAGGAGGTGGCGAACTTGACCATCCGCCTTCAAGATCTTGAATCTGCCAGAAGGAAAGAGGTCTCCTCTTTCTCTCACTTCTGCTCCTTTTGCTTTTGTACCTACGCTCTCTAGATCTCACGATCGTCTCTCCTCTTGTCTTGATCTTTCAGCTGTCCTGATCTCCATGTTGTAGGTCGGCAAGCTACAGGCTTCCCTCACAGCCAAGCAGAACGAGATGAGCGCTACAACGACGAAACGTCAGTCTCTATCCTTCTCTTGCCGCATTGTAACCCTCAGGCCCCAGTGAAGCAGCAGGTGGACAGTTTAGAGCAGCGGGCCAAGGAGAAGGAGGCAAGCAGCGCGAGAGGAGAGGAGGGGGAGTGACAAGCTGAGCAGAACGCGAATCGACAACTTCAGCGTCAGGTCGCGACCTACGAGTCAGCACTGACCGAAGCAAATTCAGAGATCGAGGCACTAAGGGATAAGGTGCCCCCAACACCCATCAGCGCCACCACCGTTCCCTCCTCCCCTCCCTTCCTTCCTCCTGCCTTTCCGCCCTCCTCACATTCCCGTCAGGTTTCGAAGCTACAGAAGGAGGTGGGTGAAGCCGAGGTCGACATGCTCAAGAAGGACCGCGAAGTACCGCCTGTCCCTCCCCTTCCCTCTTCTGATAAGTGTCGCAGCTCCGCAGCCTTCATGGCGATGCAGCGGCGGCGCAGAAGGAGGTTTGACGTGTTTGACCCCTAGAGCGACTTGACTGATCGATATCCTCAGGTTCTGGAGGAGCTAGCGAAGGAGGTGGGAGGAACGCCTCCCATAGAAGCAGGGATCTCAACCGGCAACACGAAGAAGTCCAAGGGGGGAGGGTGGCTGGGCCTGAAGGGCAAATGAACTGAAGGGTCAGTAGAACGCGGCCAAGCTAGATAGAAGGCAATCTTTTATGGACCAGAGTAGGGCGTTAATTGTACAGCTGTAGTGATCAGTGAGTAGCATCCTTCTCAGCTTTCGTGAAGTCCTTCAGTTGCTGTGAACACACGAGAATCATTCTTGTTCAAACTCGCTCCTCAATCCCTCACCTTGGCCTCATCGTTGACCCCCTTGAGAATGTTCTTAATCTCCTCATCGTATTTCTTCACATCATTGTACTGCCATGACGTCAGTTCAAACCTTACAGAATTGAGAAATTCATGTTACCAGCACGCCAGAGTCAAACTGCTTCAGGGCCTTGATTTCAGCATCGTCCTTGCTCTTCAGGAATGGAGTGAAGGCAGCGATGACGGCATGGGCGTTTTCCTTCTCGAAAGCTTCATCGAGCTTCATGGACCTGGTGAGCTTGTTGACGGCTGGGAGGATGTTCTTGATGGAGTCGCTCTCCTTCTCTGCCATGTCGGATCTTCCCGCGCTGCCCGCAACAAAGAGGACGGCGCAGATACCCAGAACCATCACTGCCAAGACTGCAGCGACCTGAATGCTCCTGATGAGCAGAGCTTTCTCGAGAGAAACCAGCACATACCTGGCGGAGGCTGTTGGATCCATTGTTAACCGAGACAGGAGACACGCGCTGCAACAAGCTTGCTGTCAGATCCAGAAGTTTCTGTTATTTTCCTTGTTGCTGAAACTCGACAACATCCTTGCAACGAGCCCTATGGTGGGCGGATTTCCATCCCCTCAACAAACAAGGACTACTTGAAAGGCATCATCATTGTCTTCTTTCTCTTCCTCCCTTTCCACCTCTCGACTCGCTTCTGTCTCATTGCCTACCTCAACTTCACTCTCTGCCTCTCCCCTCTCTCCTTTTCACTCAGTCTCAGTTGTCCCTCAGTCTAACATCCCCCTTCCTCTGTTTCTGCTTGCTTTCCTTTCCTTCCCTTCTCTCCCTCCCTGTGCTCCATCCATCTCGATTCCTCTCTCTTCCCCTCCTTCCTCCAATCCTCCGCCCTTCACTTTACCTGCATGTTCTATTTCCGGAGGCGCACAACTTGACTCATCACTTATCACCCCACCCCTCTAATCTCTACATCCTCAAAGTCTACATCACCCCACCCCTACCTGTCAATTCAGCTTCAAACTTGAAACTTGAATCACTTTAAATCCATGATTTAATCGATTGAATTTTGCAACCGTTGAACCGATCCACCGGCACACTGGCGGCTCAGTTGTGGATCGCCGGCCACCAATCACCCGCCGTCGGAAGGCCTTTCATTCGGGTGATAGGCCCATGGTGCGCCAGGGCCCGCCTTGCGAGATCGGCTTACTGATGCCTTTCTGCTCCATCTTCTTGTCGAAGGCTGCCAAGGCGCCGCTGACAGCGGAGTGGGATGGCTGCGCTGGATTTTGCTGCCTCCTCTTTTTTCCTAGTGTTTTATTGAGGCGGGTTTGTTGGATTGATCTTACGGTCCTCTGTTGTTTGCTCCGGTTTGCCGGGTTTTCTTTTCCTGCCGCAGTGCGGCGGGGGGGCCTGCCGCTGCACGGACTAGTTAAGTGAAGGTATCAGTTAAGTTGGAGGGACAGCAGCAGGCAGCGGTCGGAGGCTTGCGCCGGCCACTTTCGCTGAGGCAAACGCAGCCCGGGCCGGGGCCGGCGGGCCGCCCGGCGGCATTTGACAATTACTACGGTTGCTGAGCCACACTCAGGTACCTAGGTACCGTACGGCCGTTCAGAGGGGCTGCGGGCCCTGCTAACCTGCGGCCCACTGCGGCAGCAGAGTCGCTCTGCAACTCCAAGGCATCAGATCTGAAAGACACGGTGAAGCTAGGTTGTCACGTCATGAATTTATTGCTCTGGTGAAAAATGGATCGCAAGTTACATGTCACAATCACTCCGTTCAGTAAGCCTTGTGTTGTATGAAGGAAGTTTTCACTTCCTTCTCTATCGTGTCGGCGAACAGCTTTGCCATGTTTGTTTCCGTCACATTCGAGAAGTCAAGAGTGGAGATCTCTTCGGCGCCAGCACGCGTCAGGTAGTTGTTGACAACTGCGATCATCTTGTCTGTGCACGAGTTGATCTTGATGAAGTAAACCTTACACTGAAGGTGCTTGACGAGCTGCAAGACTTGTTGCTCCATTACATGTCCTGCCGGGTCTCCTGATGGAAAGTGATCCTCCAAGTCATGATACTGTCTCCCATGGCAAGGCGCGTCGGCTATCAGAAACAGGTACCGAGCATTCTCCTGCCACGTCAGCCCGCAAGCCTGCTGTAGTCCCCCGCAGATGTCTTCCGGGCCGTCGCTTCCTCCGGATGCCGTCTGATTCCCCACTATCGTTTGAATGTGCGAGATCTCTTGCGTGAAGTCACAGACGGCGATGCCTGGGTTGTCGTACCCGCCGCTCGCAAGATAATCGCGATATGCCACAAACGACATCTTGACAGTGCTTCTCTTGCTGCAAGATCTCACAAACTCTTCGATGTTGGCAGCAATCTGCAGGACCTTCTCCTTGCAGCTCGTGATCCAACTTGCCATGCTTCCAGTGCAGTCCATGACAAAGCAGATCTCGACAGATTTCGAAGTCGATGCCATGAGGGATACAGAGTCGCGAGAGATGTCGAGAAACACTTGTCTTGCTTTGTCAAAGATGCCTGCTTCCACAAACTTGACTGCCTTCATGGATCTCTTGTGCCTCTCCATTCCTTGCACGTGCTTGTCCTCAAGCTCTCGGTACCTCTGGCTCAGCTGATTCTCGCGTTTCATCTTGAGGTACGGCCACCATTCCAACCCCTTGGACTCCTTCTCGAGGTATGTCGCGTCCAGGTGCTTAAGGTCGTCTTCCAACAGAATGATCTTGGCGCTTCCGGGATCGTCTTGTCGGCACGTTCGCCCGTAGATCTGCTTTGCTTCTGATTCATCTTCAGGCAGAAACGTGACGACGATATGCACCCCGCCGTATTTGACAAGAGCTTTATCGTAGCAGGCGAAGTCAGTTCCCCTCCCATAAGACCTCGTCATCAAGGTAACGGCGAATGGCCGCGTGGCATTCAGGATGATCGTCTGACGGTCGGAGGATCTGAGAGCATCGGAGAGCTTCTCGAAGCCTTTGTACTGATGCAACTTAGACTTCTCGTTCTTCAACTTTCTTGCAAACATCTCCATGGCCGCATGATCTTTGAAGATGACGATGGTCGCTCTTCCTTGCTCGAGCATTCTTTCAACCTCCTTCCTCACCCGCACAAAGAACTTGTCGTAATCTTCCACCACAACCTCCAGCTCCTCGTGCTGCACTTTCTGTTTGTTGAATGTGGACGGCAGGAACGTCTTGTGCTCGAATTGATACTTGCGTAGCAGCTTGTTCTGCGCGTCGGACAGACAGTCGAGGGTGCCTGTCATACCCAGACAGAAAGAATAACACTTGGGGATCTGCGAGTAGAGCAGTTCTCCGCAAACAGGGGAGATCTGCAAGACTGGTTTCACCTGGTCGATGTTAAGATCCTTCTGTTCGCAACAGTACAAGTAGGTGAAGGATGTGATGTAGCCAAGAGTCATAGAGTAGTTGGGCACACCACTTAGAATGTCGATGTATGCTATTCGTTGACGAGTCTTGTCCACGAAATAGTCAGGGTAACCTTCCAGGTTCGGCTTGGAGCTGACAGGAAAGAGAGAAACGGATTTGAGCATCTTCTGCAGCTCAATCTCGACAAAGTCGCGAGTCAGAGCAGGGAACATTGACAGAAGCCTCTTCGTCTCGGGGAGCGACAACAACTCTTTGATGCAGCTTGCATGGTTCCTCAGCCGATGACGGTTGCTCCACACAAAACTGAGGAGCGCGAAGCTTGCCTCCGTCTTGTTGCCCGGGGGCTCAAGATCTTGTTGAGGACGGTAGAGGTTGCCGTAGCATCCTTCCCCGAAGAACACGTCTACCTCGTCCATCAGCAGCACTGACGGCCTTGTGTCTGCCTCAACCGCCATCGCCGATTCAATCTTCCCATGTCTGCGGCCATCGAGAAAGTCCTGGAAGTGCCTCCTGACGTTGGGAAAAGAGTCAGGGAAGATCTCATCACGCATGATCTTGAGCGACAGCTGGTCAAAGTCCGAGTAGGAGATGAACTGTTTGACTTGCAGCTCCTTGAAAACCGCGGCGAACGCCTGCATGTCTCGTTTGGATAGGTAACGGCTGTAGCAGACCACGTCAACGCGGAACCCGAGCTGAGCGAGGACGATAGCAGTGAAGCCGAGAGCAACAGACTTGCCCTCCCCCGTGTTGATCTGGATGAGATGGTTCTTCATGTAGTCTCGATCCACTCCCAGCAGTCGAAGGATCCCGAGGATCTGAGTGCTGTGCGGCTGACGAACTTTGCTCTTCTCGACTCCCACCTGACTCACAGGGATCGAGAGGAACGTCCAGTGCCCGCAGATCAGCCCCAGCAGTTGGCCGAGGTCCTGAGGAGCTCTAGAAAGGCACCGGGCGTAGGGCTTGAGCTTATCAGACACGAGTCGAATCCTCTCAATCACATCGGCCTTCTTGCGCTCGTAGTCTTGCCGGTCGCTTATGATGGCGTTGATGATCAAGTCATAGGTCGACTTGTACTCATCGTAGCAACGCTGCAGCAGCTTTCTGTTGACGTCTTCGGGCTCTGACCGCATCTTCATGAGAGCTTCCATGAAACCCACCCCTGCCGCCTTTTCGTTGAACATCTCGATGCTGAACATCTCAAACTGAGGGAACGTTGACAAGATCGACTGAGCGATCCGAGCGATCCCGTTGGGCAGGTCGGAGTCGCAGTATCGCTTCAGTGCCACGCCAACCTTGTAGTTGTCGGGGCTGTGCATGTGATCTAGCAGCTCCCTAGTCACGCACAACTTGAACGACTCAAGCAGGCCGAGCTCCACCGAGACTCCGAAGCTCTTGATCAAGAGCCTTGAGATGGTTTCCTCGACCTTCGACGCCATTGCAGAGTCCTCGGAGTACTGCAGCATGTGTCGAACTTTGCAGATGTTGATGCTGATCTCCTTCTGCGCCTTCTCTTTCACCTGCTCCTTAGTCAAGGCCAGCTCGTGGAACTTGGGTTGGAGGGCCGAGTAGGCATGCCAGAAGGAAGTCAGCTGCTGGAAGTCAAGGTAGTATTGATCCGAGATGTCTCGATCGATCTCCTCCATCACCAGTCTCTCCATCTCCTTCATCCAGCCAGACACGATCTCACTGATCCCGCTCACATCTACCTTGCAATGTGATGCCAGTCCGTTGCGAAGGTTGATCAACATGTCGTATCGGTCGATCAGCTGGACAAACTGCTTTGTTTGGATGAAGTTGTAGATCTCAGGTTGTGTTTGTACCATTTGCAGACCTTTAGCAATCATCGGCATCTGATCTTTGTACACCTGTGACTCCGAACCTTCAAGGTCTCGCAGCTCGTTCAGGTACTGGACGAGCTTGTCTTGATCTTCGCGATTATGGTTGGCGAGCACAATGACAAGCTCAGAGATCTGACGGCAAAGTGATGCTCTCTTCTTCGCTCTCAACTTCTCTTGCGCCTTCATCTGTACCTTACGGAAAGTCTCCTCAACCTCGCCAACTCTCTCATAGTAGTCATCTCCCAGTGATTTGAACATGCGCAAAAAGTCTCTCAGCTCTGACACAACACTCTCCGGATAGCCGAGGTCCAGCAGCTCGTAAAGCTTGTTGACGTTGAAGTTGAAAGAAGTCAAGACCTCGAACATTTCCTCGATCACGCTGCTTGCGTTCTCTATCGACATCAGAAGCTTCGCAAACTTGTGATGGGTGATCTTTCTCTGCATGTCGAGCTCTTTCATGTGCCGCTTCGCATCTTCCTCAAGGTCTCTCAGCATGTTCATCTTGTTCCTCTCGATTTCACTCTGCGCAGACTTGGCGTGCGACACTGCCAACTTCATTCTGGTCAACTTGTTCTCGGGTCCATATCGCAGCTTCTGCTCCAACCGCTGCGAGAGAAAATGAGGGCTGGAGCGAGTGATGTCAACAGCCAGTTCAGACATTCCGTGACGAACGTCATCAGCAAAGATCTTCAAGTCTTCCATGATGGTTTGTCGAGTATCGTTGATGACACACATCTCCACAAACGTCTCTAGGAATTCATTTGCTTGGCTTGCCTTCTGCTCTTGAAGACTTTCATCCTTTTCCTGAAGGTCTCCCAAGATTTGACCGACTTGAGCGATGAGTTCAGTTTCGAAACCAAAGCTCGTCAAGCTCGCAAATTCATCGAGAGTCGGCGGAGCTTGCAAGATCTGCTTGTAGTGCCTCATAGCCGAGGTGTACATTGACTCCCTCAGCTGGTTCATTAGGTTGTCAAACTTGGCCACTATCTGCCTGCATTCAGCATCAAGTTTGCTACAGAATTGTTTTGCCTCCTCAATGAGAGCAGAAACGATAGTGCTCTTCTCGATCTCGAGCTTCTTCAACTTCAGCTGAACTCCAGGCAAGTCAGCCTTGAGGCTTATTGTTTCCCTCAGCCTCTCATGCTCTGGCACTGAAGCGATCAGCAGATCCTCAGCTGACTTCCCTTTCGCAATCTCAGCGGCGAACGACTGCATGCTGTTTCTCGTTCGCTCCAGGAAGGCCTTGTAGGAGTCGGAAAGCTCTCTGAGACCTTCCTCTGCAAAAGCTCGACCCCTGACTGCCACCAAGAACTCGTTGATTTCATTCAGACGCGCGTCCATAGCGCTGCTGTCCGTGTCTTGTAACTTCCTCATGGCGTCAGAGAGCTGAGAAGTTGAGCTTGCATCGAAGCCGAGCCCGCTCAGACCCGCTAGCTCCTCGACAAGGACTGGAGTCGTCAGGTTTTTGAGAATCGTCATGTACGCCGAGTCGATGACGTCAGCAGCTTGCTTGTCAAGGGAAGCTAGTCCATGGGTGACTCGATCCTCTGCCTCTCTCTTCTCTCTCTCCTTTCCTTCCAAGAACCTTTTGGCTGCATTCAAGACGTCCTTCAAGCAGTCGTCCCTTTCAACCTCCAAATATTTCTCTAGAGTTCGCGCCTCTTTGAAACTGTCGTACCTCCGAACGCTCTTCCATGATGCCTCGTAACTCTCGTGCTCTGTCAGCACTTGCAGCAGGAGGGCAAGTGGATTCTCGCTTGAGAGAGTGTTGGCAGCAGTACAAGCGATGTCTTGTTGTTGTCTGTCCTTGAACTCCTCGTGAATCTTACGAATGTCTCGCGCACTACTATTGATTTTGAGTCCCACTGCAGTCTCATACACCTCCCTGTAAACGGCCTGCAGTTGTTTTGACTTGACATCGTAACTCTCAGGATGATCTTTCTGCAAACTTTCTAAAGTTTCCCATACATCGAAAGTTTGAAAAAAGCTCACCTGCGGGCAAACGAGCGATCAGGTTGAAGAGAGAGAGAAAAGAAGCAAGTCACTTACTGAGGGTGTAGCAGAGACGTCGATTTCCCCCTCACATAGAGACTCGAAGTTGTGCTGCACTGTCTGCCGAGCATCTGTCTCTAGCTTCTGCAGACTTTCATCGAACCTCTGGCACAAGACTGTTCTCTTGCTGATGTGAACAACTTCTGTGAAGAGCAGGACTATTGCCTCCTCATACTTCCTGATTGTCTCTCCAAGCGAGCATTGGTCGCCATACAGGTACCTGTCATTCGAGGCTCGCTCTGAAAGGAGGAGGTTTGCTCTTGCAAAGGCGTTTGCGAACTGTTGGACTTCTTCGATGGTGGAGTATTGCCGCAACAGCCCCTCCATACCTTGTTGCACATCGCAGTGAAAGAAGCTCTCAGGGTCTGACTGGGCAAGCTGGTGCATCTTCTTGTTGAAGTACGAGGAGCATGACGCAAAGACGTTTTTCAGCTCAAGGTTCTCTCTCCTTTGCTCCCTCCCCTCCTCGTCTCTGATTTCCTTGGAGCATTTGTCGAGCCTGCTTTCAATGTCCAGATCCGGCACCAAGGTGTCGAGACTCTCCGCGTCTCTAAGCAGGGTCAGGTGATCTCTCAGAGTCTTTCTGCCCTCACTCGTCAAGTCCGATGCCTTGGACCTTATGATGACCTCCCACTGCGTGATGACATCTTTGACCATCTCGACGATCTTGCTGTAGTTCATCTCTACCTCTTGGTTCCTGATGACCCTCAGGCTCTGAAACGTGTAGAGCAACTGCTGGACCTGACTGAAATCGCCTTCTCTCATGGCGACTGCAATGTCTTCGGAGGTCACCTGGGCGATCTTTGACACGAGGAGCATGTCTCTGTCTGTCAGAGGCGTCTGGAACGAGCGCTCACTCGCGCGGATGGGTGCGATCGAGCCCAGCAGAGATATGAGCTGGGCTCGAGTGATGCCCTCGGGGTTGCGATCAAGGGGGTCGTAGATTTGAATCAGATCCTCGTTGCCCTCCATCGACAGCCCGTGACCGTTGAGGAACTTAATCACGCTGGCCCTCACGAAGGAGATCGGGAACTCGTCGACATTGGAGGCCTTGGACACGCACCAGAGAATGCTGTGAAAGTGTTGTTGGATCCTCTTCTCCTCTCCTCCAAACAGCTTCTTCAGGATGCTGATGGTGTTCTGGATGCTGGAGCCTCGGCCGGTATCGATCGAGTGCGCGTCAAGAACACAGATCATCGTTATGCCGTTTTCCTTAGAGGCCTCCAAGAGCTTCGAGAGGTTCACCGCGTTGGATATGTTGACCTCCGGCCCGTTAGTGTCGTCAAACCCTGGGGCATCCCATAGCAGCAAAGCGCTTTCCGTCATGCTGATGGGGCGAAGAACTTCAGTCTGCGACTGACCCAGGACGTGACCGATGTCTGTCACCGCGTCAAGGGGACCTCCCTCGCTCACTCCGACGACGCAGAGAGAGTTGGGCTTGAGATGCTTGCCCTCGCATTCTTCCCTCGTGACCCTTCTCAGCTGGCATCCAGCAAGGCTGTTGGTCAACGTGCTCTTACCACTACCAGTCACGCCAAGTATCACAACGTTGCGTTTCCCATGCGCGCTGACGTTCTCGTCGATGGTTCCACCGCAAGATATCAAGTCATGGATCTTGGAGATGCTGCCGCGAATCTCTGCCTTGTCGCAGTGCCTCAGCATCCCTCCTGCTCCTTGAACTGCAGTTTGTGACCAAGGGTCCGAGGACTCTAACAGGAGTCCTTCTGTCTGCACAACCGTGTGTGGAGGGTTGTCTTGATTGATCAAATCCAGATGCTCATGGGTTTCATCGGCCTGCATGAAGTCTTCGGGCATGATAAAAGTGTTTGCCTCTGGGGTTACTTGTTTCGATGCAAAGTCTTCGAGCAAACTTGTGGGCAACTTGACATCTGGTAAGCAGCAAGAAAATGCGGATATCCAGAGACGATACCAAATCACCACAAGATACTTCGAGGTGAATTCAAATGTCCTCGTTTCCAGCATCCTGCAGAACTGAAGCTGCAACTTGCGCGGAATGTGAAATCTCAAGCCTTCAAAGACGAGTTGGACATCTCTGGTACTTTCAAAGTGTTTTTCATGCAAGTCATGCACTAGTGCATGGATTGCCAGTGCTGTTAGCATGCTTGGCTCTACCATCACTTCCTCGAAAGCCCTTCGCGTGAATCTGACGAACTCAAACTGAGGAGCTTCCGGAGTTGAAAGAACCTTGCGGTGCTTGTCAGCTTCCACACTCAGATAATTCATCGCCAAGTGTCGATCTGCGGTGGCGAATTGTTCTCGGAGGAGATGGAGAGCTTGAGTCGCTTTGCCCTTGACGACCGCTGACCCCCAGCATGCCAGCTGCATGAGAACTTCCACGTTCTTAGATCGAATTCGCCGGATGAATTCTTCTTCCGAACGCCAGAACATGAGAGCTCGACTGAGCATTCCACTTTGATTGAACTCAAGAGGAAATTCAAGGAATTCGACGACCTCGTCCTGCAAGTCTGGAAATCGAAAGCTGGCGTTTAGTGCGAGCTCGAAACAAGTGAAGCAGATAGTCCAATCCTTCCTGGGCTGACCTCGAGCAGCGCACAGCCTTAGGATGTGGAATGTTTCATGCAGCCATGCCCTACATGAATCCTTGTCTACCAACCCACTAGAGTCAGGCTCATTCAAGATGATCTCATTGTAGAGCTCGACCAGAAGCAGCTTCACTGAACTTGCTGTCTTGTCGTCCTGCGCCGCCGAATCAACAACTCGAACACAATGTTTGAGTCCACGAGTAGCAAGCCAAGTCACGTCCTCACACTTTCCGTGCCTTGCACCTTCAGCTCTTGACATCAACTCCGTCAGTCCATTCTTGAGCAGTCCCTTTGACGTGCTTTCCAAGAATTCTTTGGTCAAAATAGCGTAATGGAGCGCGTTGTCAATCACGAAGAGATTCAGTCTGCAATCTGCTATGTCTTGAAGATCACTTGAACTTCGCAGGTTTTTAGCAGCCGTAAAAAGAGCTTTCATACGGCCAGAAAGAGACTGAAGGCACTGCTCCTGGCAACTTCGCGAGTCGTCGTTAAGTTGTGCGCAATGCAAAGCTAGTCGTTTCGTGATCCCGAAGATCCGCAGCATAATTCCTGGCCGGAAATCATTCTTCTCCATGCTGCTTGCAAGAGAGCTCAATTGGATGATCATGGTTCTGTTTGATGCATCTTGCGCACTGCTGAAACGTTCCAAACTCGAAAAGTGAAACAATTCTGCGAGAATTTCTTCATTGGATGCAATTTTCATCATGCTCTGTAGTTGTTCAAGGCAGCATATCATTCCAGATTCCTGAGGGTTCGAAGTCGAAAGGATCAGATCTGAGATTTTCTTCAGGCGATTCAAGCTTACGAGGACCTCAACACCGATCGAAGGGATTCCAAGTTCTTTGTTGCCACCTTTCATTCCACTGCCATTTTCGATCGCAAGGTTCGCATTTCTTGCTTCGTTGTTGGTTTCGAAAGTTTCCTTGCCTCTTTGATCTTTGAGCATGTTGTGTGAGGCCTCCAAGTCAATCTTGGGTCTCTTCGTGGAGCAGCTCTCGTCTGCCAGCAAGTCATTAGTACACGACATGGCGATATCGTTCATCTGGACTCACCCCTGCTCGATCCCAGCTCACCCGCCAGCTTCGCATCAGCTTCGCATCTATCTTCTGGAGTGTGAGAGCCCTCCAGCTGCTTGTCCTCGATCTGCCCGCCATGCCGTGAGCGCTTCATGCCTGACATGCACGGGTTCTGAGCTAGGAAGTTGCTCAAGACACCTCCGCCTCCCCCGCAACAAAAGTACTGATCTTTAACTTAACTTTCAGTTCGTGGCTCACCGGCCCAAGCGGCGCCAGCCTACTCTCACTGAGTCACTACGGTAAAAGCCGGGCGCCGGGCCCGGCCCGAACTTTGAGTTAAACCTCGGACTCTCGGAGACTCTGGAGAAAAGTTGGCTCAAGTGACTCGCCGGTCCGATCACGCGGGGCCGGGCCGCTCTGACGCGGCTTGGGCCGGCGGGCCCGGGCCGCCGCACGGTTAATGAGTGGCGGAGCCTGCCGCTCTCCTTCTCTTTGTATTTCCTCCTCCTTACCACTATCTTCGCTCTGAAATCATTCAAAACATTTACTCGAAGCTGGGTCGCTCACTAGCTATCAGTGCTGGAGTACACTCAGGCATGCCTTGACTTGTACATCCCTCCAAGCCCCCAAGTGTTCAATCGGCTCTAAGCGATGCATCATCAGACTATGATGACAGATCACGCGACTTGTCATTGAAAATTGAAGCCTTCAACCAATCTCATCTCATCTCATTCCATCCCATCCCATCCCATCCCATCTCTTTTCGTCTCTTTTCTTCTCTTCTCTTCTCGTTATAGCCGGATGATGGTTCTCCCCTTAACGGCGGAGTGCTCTATGGATGAGGACCCGTTCATCCTTCCCTTCCTTAGCGTCACCTCGCCTGGCTCGACCTGCTTCTTCTTCTTCGCCTCCTTCCTCTCAGTTGCATTGCGCAGCTCGTCTCGCAGGCACAGCATCGGCTTCCCCTGGTGCAAACGCGTCAGTGGCAAGGAGGGAGGAGGGGGTCGTCAGCGGCAAGGAGGGAGGAGGGGGTTGTCACCAGGGCCCTGCGGAGGCTCTTGTTGATCTTGTAGGCGAGCTTGGCGTTGTCGCCCAGGTCGCGCCACTCGAAGCTAACGGAAGGGTCGAGGCCGTACTTGCCGACCACGGGGGCCTCGAGGAAGTCGAACTTGGAGTAGAACTTGATGAACTTTCCTATCGCCTCCTTGTTGCGGAACAGACCCGTCGATTGCAAGTCCTCAAAGCTGATGGCAAACTTTGCCTGCCACTCTCCCAGCACCTTTCCCAGCTTCTTGGAGGAGGGCCAGCCGTACACACAGCGGTAGAAGAGAGAGTGGAAGCAGTCGAGCAGGTCAGTAAGAAACTCTTGCTCGGTCTCCAGCTCCATGACGGCAGTTCTGAGACCCATATAAGCTTCGACAATGATGGCGAGGAGGAAGTTAAGGATGAGCAGGAAGACGATGAGCGTGTAGAGCACCGTGAACAGCTGCCATGTGATGTTAGTGATAGCCAGAGCGCAGGCTCGAGAAGAGCAAAAGACGCAGGAGCAGGAGAGGGAGCAGGAGCAGGGCAGGCACCTGCATCTCTCTCGTGGATGTCCAGTCAGCAGGGAACTGACCGAAGAGCATCTCAAACTCCGTCTGCAGCGCCACCTCGAAGGTCCCGAAGTCGTCGCGGGTGTTGCCGAACTTCCACGTTGCGATCCCCGCGAAGCACATCATGAGCACCCCCGTAAGCAGCGCCGCGTGCCAGAGGTCGTCAAGCGCTCGCTGTAGCGTCCCAGTGAGGAGGGCGAGGCGAGGGTGGAGGGAGGTGCACTGGATGACTCGGAGGAGGTTGACGACGAGGATGATGTTGCAGAGAGTGTTGAGACTTGCCTCCCACTCGATGGTGGAGAGAAGGTCCGAGACGTAGCGGAAGAAGGAGACCTTCTTGCTCTCTATCGACACCTCCGGGCTGGCCCAGGGGATGCTGCCGAATTGCTGCAGGAGCGACTTGGTGTAGTTGGCGGAGTCGATCTTGTTGCGGAAGCTCAAGCAGATGTAGACGAGGACAGCGCCAGCCGAGAGGATCTCAACCCACGTGGTGAACCAGGAGCTGTAGGAACCCTCCTTCTCCTCCTCCTCTCCTCCCCCTCGTCTCTGAACTCGCCGAGCCATCCACAGCAACACTCGCTTGGCGTTGGTCAGGAGTATCGCAACGTTGATGAGCACAAGCGCCTGTGCGGTGATGTAGCCGATCAGTCGCCCTCCTTCCAGCGCCTCGAAGTGCTGGATCTTGTACGAGACCGAGACGGTGGCGGTGCTGGCGAAGTCAGCGGCGATGGAGAGGACGGTGGTGATGCCGTTGGTGGGGGTGAAGAAGACGAGGATGACCTGGACGCTCTCTGTGAGGCTGTCGATGAACGAGCTTGTCATGAGGATCTCCCCCTGCCCGTCGGAGTTGCTGCGGTACAGGAAGTCGTTCTCCGTGATGCTGTACAGGAAGTCCGAGTAGCCCATGCTCCCGCTGAAGTCCACGGGCTTGAGCCCGAAGAACACTGACAACGACGAGCTCTCCATCGGGCAGGATATGAGGGAAGTCGGTTCGCTGAGGGTTGCGGCGCTACACAGGAAGGGAGCGGCGCACTTTTGCTGGATGGCTCGCTTGTGCTCGTTCTCGATCCATGTCGTGCTGTAGTCAAATCCGCACTGAAGGCTCCCGTTGCCCCTCCTCGTGAAGATGACGGGAGCTGCCATGAGTGCCGAGCGAGGAGCGAAGTCTTGTTTGACCACCGGGATGGTCGTCGAGACCCGCACGCGGTTGTCAACGGTCGGGCCCGAGCGAATGTCCATCTGCTTCTGGTTCTGAAGGAACTGCTGCTGCACCACCGCCATGGGAAGGGCCTGGGGAGTGAGCATGATGGGCGAGATGAGCATCGGGTAGTTGATCTGAGGGCTCGTCAGGAGAAGCGCCGAGAACCGGTCAGGACAAGAGAGGACAGCAACAAAGATCCAAAAGAAAGGGAATGACGTGCTGTGCAATTTGCTCAAGGCACAGACATCATCGTATCACACGCAGCAAGCAAGTATCATACCTCGATACCCATAAAGAATGCCGAAGAGTTGAACAAGCACAAAGGAAACTCGTTGTTGTATTCCGAATTAGACTGAAGGTTAGTCACAACTTGGCTATAATATCCAAGGTTTGCTTGGGAATGATTGTTCAGAGAGATGGAGACAAAAGTCCATTTAGTGTTGGAAGCCTTTTCCATCTACATCGAGAGTTAGCTCACTCGCTTGCTGACTAGCTCAGCAGCCTTTTCCTCCTCTCCTCCTCTCCCTCTTCTTCCTTTCGCCTCTCCTCTTCCCTCGAGCTCGTTCCCCTTCCTGCTGCTCACCTCGATGTTCCAGTACGGGTCACGCGAGCCTTTGCCGTAGCATTTCGAGGTGATCCTTGCTTCTCCGTTGGGGTTGGCCCATAGACCGAACAGCTACAGCTCAGCATCAGCGCCTACCGCGTGGCAGCCTCCTGCTCACCAAGCTCTCTTGCGGGGGAGAGAAGGAGGAGAAGAAGTTGATGTGCGGGAAGAACCTCCCGGTGTCTCCCAGCATCGAGTTTGTGCCCACCGGCCTCACCCAGAAGGAGATGGTGAAGTCTCCACCCTCAGCCAGCATCTTCTTGGTGAACTCCTCCACCGGCTTCATGTCGAACCCGCAGTACTCATCGATCGAGGCCTCGAGCTCGTCACAGACCGTCACGTTCACTCGCCTTGCTCGCCTTGGGGCTTTCCCCGTGGTTTCCATGCTCGCCTTCCACGACTCGGGGAACAGCTCCTGCTTGTAGCTCGCGCCGCTCGCCCACTTTCGGCATTCAGCCACCACGCTGGCCTTGGAGTAGCTGCTGCCCAGACAGATGGTGCCGTTCGGCGACTGAGCAGGGATCAACCTTGTTCGGTCCCACACGAAGAAGGAAGAGGTAGCGACAAAGTCTTTGAAGCACTGCTGCTTGCTCGCACACGAGTTTGGGCAGTTTTGCTGAGCCTCGGAGGAGGAGCAGACGGCAGGAGTGCTCTGCTTTGCCTGGTAGTACCACGAGCACTCGTGTCCGTAGGGGTCTGACCAGATGCCATCGTCCTGCATGTCAGGGCTGGAGATATTCAAGCAGTGATGATTTCCCAGCACAGGGGCGAACTGGATCGACTCCCTCCAAATGTCCTGGGCGGTGAGGATGCCGCTGATGCTGTGAACGTACATGCGAACATCGTAGAGCTCGATCGGAGCCCCGTAGGTGTAGCCCGGGGCTGCGTGACCGATAGAAATCTCCTTGTAGGGGCCAAGGCAGTCAGCCTGTGCGGGCGAGTCAGCTGAGGGAAGAGGGGAAGGAAGGAGAACCTGAGCGATGCTTCCTCCCCAGTCCTTCTCCATGGCGAGCTTGCCGTCGAGGAAGAAGCGAACCTTGTTGTTGGTTTCGTCCAGCTGATATACCACGTGCCTCCAATACTTGTCGCCCGAGAAACCAAACTTGGGGTCGATGCCGTAGTCAGCGAAGTGAAGGTATCCCGAGTTAGGAGCGCCGTCAATCCAGAAGGCCTGGTTCTCGATCCACAGGCTCCAGCACCACGAGTTGAAGTTCGCGTTCGCTTGCGAGGCCACTGAAGGAGGAGGGAACTGTCCCGCCTGGAAGACGTAGACGCCGCACGTGTCGGCCAGGCAGGGGACGTGGCGGTACCAGAAGCTGAGAGTCATCCCAGTGCCATGGAACGAGGGCACGTTGTTGAGGTAACGAGCATCAGTGTCGCTGGTCTTGGAAAGGCGCGCAGGGTCTGATATGAGAGAGTAGTAGGATCGCTTGATGAGAGAGTCCCACGACAACTTCAGCGTCCCGTTGTGCGAGCAGTTGGTTTCCGTTACCCCTACAGGGTACGTCTGAGATGCGTACGATTGAACAGCAGGAATCGGAAACGAGTCAACAGTCTGGCGAGGAGGAGGAACAGGTCAGAGGAAGCAGCTGGCTGGCTGACGCAACACGAACCTGCGACAGGAGCGCCTCGCCCTGCAGCTGCTGGCGTTCGCCGATGAGGGACTCTACCTGCGCTATGGATCCAAGGATCTCCTGCTTCGTTGCCAAGCTCTCGCTTTCGCTCACATCCGATGCCTGTGATCCTGTCGACATGTCCGACAAGCGCATACCGTACTGGAAGATCTCAGTAATGTCTGAAACCGTCAAACTCTTGGGATAGAAGCGAAGCTGACCCAGCTCCATGTTTGCCTGGCCAACCAAGATTCCTTCCGTGTTGTAGCATTCTGTGAGTGGCCGAGGGAGAGAAATATTGCCGAGAAGCACTGTGTTCCTGTAGAACAGGACGACCTGAAGGAAGGTGAGGAAAGTACGTGACATACGTGCACTATCACTCGCCTTCTGCGTCACTATCATAGTCATCAGAGCAAACTCATCAATGATCATCGGGCGAGGTTTCGGGAGCTTAATTTCTAGTTGCCTGACAAGCAGTCAGGTCTCAGAACCACAATTTTCGTGCAAGAGATCCTCTCACTCAAGTCTGTTGTTAATGTTCCAGATGTCGATCGGAAACGTATCATGCATCCCGTATCGGAATTGGGGGCCCGTAAAGCGATCGAAGTACCACCCCCAGCAACTCTGCAGGCTCAGCTTAGTACCACCCGTCCTCCCTCATCATGAAGACCAACCAGATCTGATCCTGGGCCTGCAGATACAAGCCGCTTACGAAAGACGTACCCGCTGGTGAAGTCCGCGCTGACCCTCATCCACGTCGTAAAGGAGATCTGAGCAGAAAGTGAGCATATCCCGATAACGCTCTCTCACTCGCCTCGGGCGCTTGGATGCTCAGCTGCACACTGCCGAGGACAGCAGGAGCAGTGAAAGATCGCAGAGACCCCAATATCTGTACATTGCCCTGATCTTGCGTGTCGAAGTACTGCAGACAGCAGTCATCGTGGGAATATAGCACCAGGGAACCAGACATGGGAGGAAAGGATGAAATGCTTGCGAGATTCTGAAGATATCGATTGGAGGGCTTGCGTGAAATCAGCTCGCGACTGCGAAGATTGTTAGGAGGAGCAAGATTGTTGGTCGGAGTGAGACTACCTGGATTGTAGCGACCTCTTCAAGGTTGAAGGAGCTTGTGAGGTAGTTGTAAATGCCTCTTGTTGCTGTCCCATTGTTGGCAAATCCAAGAGCGATCAGGAGCAGAGCGAAGACCATTGCTTGATTCAGCAGCTTCAGCATCCCTGTTATGAACTGGTGCTCAATCTCAAGCCGCTCCACTAAGTTGGCGCAGTGCAGCCGCTCTTTGTAGATCTTTCGACGAATGCAAGACTGGAGGGCAACAAGAGAAGACATCTGTCGATCCTGCAGCTTCCCAATCTCCTTCCCGACATGTGCTTCGCCTACTTCGCCTAGCATGACCACTTCGGCGGTTGACATTGGAGGTGAGGTAGGGCGGCTGGTCACTCCAATAATGGCCCAAGTGCTCCGATCAAGGAAACACATAGGGTGGGGTGGTTGTGCGGTGAAGGAGGGGTCTTCGGGATGAAGGGAGGAGGGGTCAGGGTTGATTGGGGAGACCTCTTGGCCAGTGATGAGCACCGCAATCACACATGTCGGGGAGGGGAGGGGGTGGGGGTACCGTAAAACTTATCATTAAGTAGAGCTATGGGATCTAGGTAGGATTCAATGTATTACACATTTTTTTCTGTGAGGTTTATAGTTCAAACTATAGATTGGACTTGGCGAAAATTCATGCCGGTGGCGATCGAAGGAAGATAGATCGCAATTGTTCTCAGTCTGCTGTTTGTTCCTGACAAACCAAACAATGCATAACATAGGGAAATCATTTCTCCATCGATTGTCTAGGCTTGTATTCTCTAATTATGCAATATGAGAGTAACAAACAGCATTGAACCTCGCTTGATGGAAGAAAACCTCTACGACATATGCTTGTTCTGAACCTTGTAGTCATCTGATCATGGCATGGGACGTTTGATCGAAGCAATTCAAAAAGTTATTCTGGAAACAATGCACTGACTTCCATGATCATGGCTGAATATCGACAATCGTTCAGCGTATTCAAGTACTTTTATTCCATGTTCAAAGAAAACATCATCCTGACTATTCTCAACGACTTGATGCAGATGAGCCTGAGTTCTTCTTGAATTTTTTCCTTAACTTCTTCACGAATGTATTCCATTTCAATTGCCCTCTGCGGAAACTGTAGCCCGAGTCTACATTGATCCAACTGTAGAAAGACGACTCATACTTGACAAAAATCTCCTGCGATTCCCTGAACATGCGCCTGACTCCGGTTCCTCTTTTCAACTCTTCAAACCTCCTTAGTTCTGTATCCCTCTCGTCTGCATCCTTGTCAGCTAGCACGTTGTTGATATGCTGCTCAAAACATTTCACGAGAAACTTCACGTCTGAACGTCGCTTTGTATTGCTTTGTCCAGGCTTCAACTCCCCTGCACAAACATTTTTCAAAGGGGGAATTTGTCTTTTCTCGTTTCCACAGAACCACAAATTCCATGCCGATAATGGGGTTTCCAGCTCTTCTGTCAAAAGTACTTCTTCCAGAGCCGACGCGCTTGCCCCAACTGCTTCATCAATGGAACCACCCGTGTCTCTGCTCTCATTCACTCCAACAGTGTCTGCCGGTATTACGGTGCGCTCCTCTCTCCTGCGACCAGACTCAACAACACTCTGACCTGAAGCCTCGGGGTCCCTTTGCTGAACATCTCTCTGTGATCCACTTGCTTCCCCTCCCGTCTCCATAATCACCTCCCGTATGATAGCTTTGAACTCATCTCGATTCTCTAGCAAGCCTTGGCGAAAGAAATCCTTTGCTGATTGTCCACACTCATTTGGTATGAAACCAACTTGTCGCCTCTCCGAACTTGAAACTCCTTCTGCCAATGCCTGGTTGCCCCGGCTAGATTGCTTGAACTCCAGAACTTCTCTTTGTATTTTTTCTAGGGACGCCACAACCTTGTCATTGTGGACATATTGATGAACGTGTGGAGGAATGCCTGTCGCTTCCATTCTGCCTCTTGCTTCCTTTGGCATGCAGCAAACAACCTTTGATTTCAAAGTATTCAGCATAGCTTCGTCCTGAAACAAGGTTGACTTCCAAAGAGGATGATTCCTCTGCAAATTCGTTCTGAGGAAGTCTGCATGGTATAACACGGATGCGAGTGCAAACTCCGCAACTCCATACATGCACATGGGTAATGTTGGGAACAGCATCTGAATCGCACTTGTGTCCGTCCTAGAAGACTTGAGAAGTGGAGACAGTGAGGGGAGAATGACAAGATGGAAAGGAGGGAGAGATGACCCTGGAATAGTACGTGGGTAAGAATCATCGCGGGGATGGGGAGGACGAAGACGATGAAAAGGAAAAGGATCGGAAGGGAGGTACGAGCTGAGATTAATATGAGATTAG